AGGAGCACAAAGGGGAAGCGGGGGACGCCCGGTCCCCGCACGCGGCTCCGGTCCCTCCGCGGCCGCTCCGGAGCCACGGACACCTGTGCGCATCCTGCTCTGCCGGAGCTGGGGCGGGGGCTGCCGGGATAAATCGCTCGCTTCCTCCCTCGCTTTCCCAGGGAAAGCGCAGGGAAGGAGGGGGAAAAAAAAAAAATCCCTCTCCCCTCCTCCTCCTTCTCTTCGCCTTTTCATTCGTGAGCTGAAGATATCGAGAGAGGCGGAGACTGCGCTGTCAAAACTCGTTACGCCTCCTGCTAAGCATCTCAGCGAGGCATCTCGGCATCACGTCCCTGCCCTGCATCCCCTCCCCGTGTCCTGCAAGGTGCTCCTGGGAGGTCCTGGGGCACTTCTGCCTCTCTTCGTCCTGGAATGCTGTCCCGGAGAGCACTGGAACGGGTGGAGAGAGCAGCAGCAGCGCACGCCTCCTATGCGCCCTTTTACCTAAGGACCTACAGACCACATCACAGCAAAGCTGGAAAAACGGCATCCAAAAAGGCCTGGACCACAGGACAAGCAGAGCCCCCCACAGCACCACTCCATCCCAATGGACCGTGCACCGGGGTGGCAGCACGTCTGGGCAGAGCACAGAAGGGTCCCCAAACACGTCCCACGCTTACAGACAGGGGCCCTGCAGAAAGGATGCACCAGGGAAAGCCCATGGTGGTGACACAGGGAAACCCACAAGGAAGTCTCTAAATTCCTCCCACCTTTTGCTGGTGAGTTTTGCAGCAGGTCACCAGGCCCAGCTGGTCCTTAGCAGGACATCTGCTGCTCTGCAGGTTCCTTGCATCACAACTTCCCCTCCAGCTCCACCACCAAAACCACGGTCCCTCTCTGCTGCACACATCCTGAGCATCCCATAGATGCAACTCGCCCAGAGCATTGCAGGAAAAATGGAGAGGGGAGGAAAGAAATCCAAGGTGCATCCCTGCTCCGATGAGCCCTGTGCAGAGGTGACTCCCTGAACACAGGGATGGGGGGAGAAAGAGGCAGCAAGTCACCACATCTGACATGGGGAAGGGATGGGGGACAACAGATCCCATTTAACACCCTCGGATCCAGCTGCTGCTCTTTTGCTACGGGGAGGAAAACAGTATTTTTGAGCACGTTCACATCCAGCCAAGCCAATTTTTCTAGATGAATTTTAATGCATTAGGGCCTCCATGTGGTCAACAAGCACTTTAAGAGGGTGATGCTAACGGGTTTGGTCCTTGCCTGCCAGAAAACCACCTAAAAGGTTAAAATCCAGCAACGCTCCGGGCACAGATTGACAGCTGTCAGTCTCCTCTCCTTGCAGAACCCCCTGCCCTTGTCTGGCTGCCTCCCACCTGCTTCCCTGCTCTAATCCCGTTAGCAAGGAGCTAATTGGGATTTATCTGACAGCGCCGGGCGCCTGGAGAGCCATTTCGCAACTTCCTCCCGCGGGAGCAGGAGGAGGAGGGAGCGAGGAAGGCTCCAACAGGCTCTTCCCATCCCCTCCTGCAGTTTTACGGGCTAATTACCAGCAGTAGCGAAAGGAGAGGGAGAAAGCAGGGATTTTAATTATTTCATTTACTGGTTGGCAAGACGCAGTTCGGCTCCTGCTGGGAAGCGCTTGGAAATAAAGAGATTTTCAGCCCTCTCCAGAGCGCATAAGGGAGAGGCATGAAAACGTGGGCAGGACGGGGAGGGAAACGCGCTGCTAATTCGCACGGCTCCTCATCAAGGAGGTGCTGAGCGAAGGCGCACGCGGGTCCGGGTCCGTGCGCGTCCTGCGCGGTCCCGCAGTGCCACCTGCCGCTGCCAGGAGCGCGGTGCCACCAAAACCAACGCGACAGGAGCATCGCACGGGATCGCGGCACAACCGGCGGGCGCCGGGGAAGAGAAGCCTCTCCCCACGCTGAGGAATAAGGAAACCTCCCAAAAAACAACCATTCCGCAGCCTGGAAGCTGCCCTGGGTCCTGCTTTAGCTCCTTGCGGGTGCCTGAGCCGAGGGAGCGCGAGCCGGCAGGGGATGCTCTTGGCTCACGGAGCTCCAAGCCCGGTATCCCGTTAGGAAAAGGCAGGATTCAATGCAACCTATTCCCCGCCGGGTGCTTTCCATAGCAAAGGCACATTTCCAAGCAAGCCCTCAGCCTCCCCATGTGCACACAACGGGCTGTACATTACCCATAATGTACGTTATGTGTAGGGTGTAGGTACCAGGTACACCGCGCGCCCTCGCAGCTCTGCTTTCCTAAGCACAGCTCATTGTAATGACCAGGATGCGCTGCCGAGGTGACATTACCTCTGCCTTTTGCCTAGCAGCAATGATTCACCCTCAACCACAAGTGACAGCAGGTGACACCACGAGATTCCAGAGCCAGGGAGCTGGTTTTACCCCCGACAGGATTCAGCATTCTCCCCCTGCAAGCTCCCAAGCCCCCGGTGGGGCTGGTGAAGGCGAGAGGCTGAGGATGGAGTTGGCTATGAGACGAGCACTAGGTGACAGATGTCCTTAGATCACAGCTTTGCACCCCCAGCATCCAAAATACTCAGTAGCACAGCACCCAGCACTTGATTTTTGAGCAGCATCAGTCCAATTAATTGAGCTCAGCTGGGCAGGAATATCAGGCTGGGGCAATGCCTAGAGGAGAGAGGTTCCCAAACTGTGATCCAAGAGCAATAGCCCCCTCGGAGGTGTGCAAGGCTCTGCAGCTCAGCTGAGTCCGTACCCACTTCCAGAAGGTTTCTATTGCTCCTGCACATCCTAGGTGGATGGAGAATGACTGGAACTACCCAGCGAGTTTGATGGTGGATGGAAAAAAGTAAAATAAAATGATAATTTTGCATGACACACCACCACTTACCAGCAAGAAGCTTCCTATGTTCTTTAGAAAGCAAGGGAAGGGGAGGAGAAAAAGCAAAGAACAAAACGGTTAGAACAGCAAAGCACAGCCAGGCCAAGCTTTCCTCTCCACCCCAAGCTCCCTCCGCAGCAGTTTGGCACCAAAACCATCCGAGGTAGTTCCCATGTTCTGGTCCACTGGCTCCCAGCTCCCCTGCGGGATGCTCCGGGATGCGGGCACATGTCCCTTGGGATGGATGCTTTTTCCCTGATGCACAACCTCCACACCTTGCATGAAGAAAAAAAAGACTAATACCCCAATGCAGAGCAGCTCGGAGGGTTGTACAACAGATACAACCGCCTCAACACACGTAACGGGTCCCCTAAGGGGTACCATGACCCCGGGACTGATGTGGGACAGAGCATCCTACCCACAGCTGCAACAGCAGGACCAAGGGGCACCACGACCTCCCATGGGCTCTGCCAGCAGCACCAGCAGCCACCGGCACAACGGGACATGGGACACGGGTAACGCGGGCCGCTCATCCGGGGTGGAAACAAAGTGAGCATTGAGGGCCGGAGCCGGCTCCGCGCCAAGGAAGTGACGCGCGGCGCTGCCTTGGCAAGCGGGATCCTCGCGGCCACGGGCTGCTAGGGGATGCGGGGAGAAAAAGGGAGGGCTTAAAATATCCCAGAGCAGCACAGCTATTTCGGGATTAAAATTTACAAAAAGAGGAAGAAAACAGAAGGGAAAACCAGGCTCCTGCAGCCAGCTCTGGTGCGGATGAAATGTTAGAGTCTAATGGCAGCGCTCCCTTCCTTTACCCGGATGCCTCTAAATTAAAGTGATGTGACTCATGCCACCTCTATCCTACTCCTTTGGTACTTCTGCATCCCAGAACAGACCAGCAGTGATGGAGAGGAGGGAGACCCACCACCCAAGGCATTCCCAAAGAGGCTCTTTCCTGCAGGGAGCCCTGCAGTTCCACACCACGTGAACCTTCCACATGCAGGTATCAAAGTCTGCTGTTTACTGGGGCCTGAAAGTGCAACTCCATTGTCAGAACCCAGCATAAAGTCAACGGGAAAGAGCAACGATATAATGGAGATAGGGGCATCTCTGCAGGTCAGCGTGTGTCCCATGAAGGACCCTCAGGAGAAGGTCACTCTTCCTGCCAACCCCAACCCCAGGATTCTTCACTCGGAGCCTCCTGAGCTGCCAGCAGTGAAGGGACCATCAGCACGAGGCTGAACCGGGGCAATATCCCCGGGATGAAGGACCGCAGGAGACTCCGCAAGGGCAGCGCTGCCGGATGCGGCCCCGGAGCGGGAATCCCGGCGGATCAGCAGGCTGCCCACGTCCGCCCGGCCTCCCTCCCGCTTTGGGAACAAAAGTGCAATTGAGCCGAGCAGCCCCGGAGCCTGCCCTGCCTTTCAACTCCGCCAGATTGAACCGCGCTTTCGTTTTCCCTTCGTCCCGCTGCGGCCGCAGGAAGGAGCTGCTAAGGCTGGGAAAGGGAAAGCAGGCTGAGTGTAACGTTTAATAAATAATAAAGTGACGGGAGAATGGCAGGCTCCATTCCAAGGTCACTCGGCTGTGGAAAGTCTTCCTGAAGGGAAATGCGTTCAAGTAGAACGCACCTGTATTTGATGGAAGAGAAAGTAGAAAACTCACATTTGGGATTTCTACTCCAGGACTGCTGGGGGAGCAGCCCCTTCACCTCCATCCCCTGCAACCCACTTGGCCAGGGGCTTTCAGGACCTCTCCCGCTCCATGTGAGTCAAGGTGGCATCATCCGCAATGTCCCCATAGAGCTTCACCCCACGGCTGGGTACCCAAGGGGAGAAACCGGCCTCCGTGCACAGCCAAAGGACGGGAGGAACCAGGTTGCAGTCAGGAAGAATCCCAGGAAAGCCACAACTTGGCGTTTTCTCTGCCCTCACACTAAATCCCTCCGATAAGCTTGCCAATACGATCCACGTTGCAGCGTCTCATTCCCAAGGAAACGAGCCAAGGGTTCCCACGCCACCTTCCCGCTGCTCGGGGCACAAAAGCAGCAGCGACTTCCTGAAATCCCTCTCTCCCGACCCTCCCTCCTGCCTCTCCGCATCCTGCTCCAAGGCCACCCTCTGCACACAGATAACAAGGCAACTCGCTGCCAAAAATAGCAGTCGGAGGGGCCCGGATCAGCAAACCTGCAGGCAGAGATAGGGCTTGAATGGTCCATAATAGACCAAGGTTTTTTCCCTAGTTTTG